GATAAACACTCCCCGAAGGCGAATCAAACGCCGAAAGGTTGGGCGCGATTCGACGATCGTCCTCGACGTGTGTCTTCTATAAATTCCAACCAGCGGTGATTGGAACGTCCCCTTCGAAAACTACTTTGTTTTACAACTCGACACCCACGTCTCGTCTCTATGCGTACGCACGCGCGCGCGCGCTAGCTGGCTAGCTGACTGACTAGCTCGTCGCTACACACGGGATCGGCGTTGTGTATCGGCTCGTAACCGCGTCTACGTTCTACACAGAGCACGCGCTGCGTTCAATGTAAAGCGTTAAAACGCTACGTGATCGAATTGGACAAGCGACCGGACACTCGCCACTCCGAGCCACCATTTCGCGGATGCCGGTCGAATATCAAGCAGAGAGATCGTTAGAAACGTTTTAGAATTAAGCGCGCCTTTTGCCCTCCCCCCCTTCTCCCCCGCCCCGACCGTCGATTAGAATGGAACGCGATTACCCGCTCGGTGAAACTTGGTTAATGGAAATTGGCTCGAACGATAGCGACGAGTCCTTTGACCGCGAATCATGAATTCTCGTCGAGCCACGACTTTTGACTGGTCGAGAGAAAAATTAAATTTATGTTATACTTGGTGAAACATGAGATGATACGATTATATGTAAATTCTTTGGTGTCAAAACTAAATGATAGATGTAGAGGGATTCTAATTGAATGAAAGTTAGAATGAAATTTTAATGCGATATAATTATAATGGAAAATAAAGAAAAAAGGATTAAATCGCTTGGTATATTTCATATAAAAATTATATTATAAATAGAATCTATTTTTCTTTATTTTTTTTAAGTAATATCCAAGAAAAAAATCTACTTACTAGTTATTTCAAAAGTCTAAGAATCTTGAATGTTCTGTAACGAAAAAGAAAAAAAAACAATTTTCAAAAAGACGACGAAAATATTACAAATCGCGTGAAATTGATTAAAAGTATTTCTTTTCTTTAACAAACAATCAATACAAAGTTACCAATAATAGAAATTTTCGATTACTCGATCCCAGATTTAATAATAATCTCGAGAATCGACTCGTGCTCCTTTTATTCTTATCCGAAACAGTTGCGACTTATTAGCGACAGCTACGAGCCGAACGAGAGAACAAATCCTTTTCCTCGATTCCTCGAACGATTCCTCTCACCTCGCCACGCGATGTACGTACATACATTGACAAATCCCCCATTCATTCGGTCTCCGCTCGTCTTCCCTCTCTCGTCGCCTCACGAAAGTCATCTTTCGAGAATTTACGGAGGTGTATACTTGTTACAAAATCACCATCCCCCCTGACACAACAATGATCACACCGGTAAGGTGCTCTCGATCGAGCGGCCGGCTATTTTGAATAGTTTCCCACAGAGAGTCGGTGAAAAATCCTGCTCGAGGAGGAGATCGAACGTCCACGCGTTCTATGATTCACCAAACGCGAAACGCGAGATGGAATGAGAGGCTCATTATCGTGGAACGAGAGAGCATCGAGAGTTAACGTGACTTCGCGAAATAATCTCGGCCTAGAGCGCGTTAACGCGAAATCAGGCGTTCAGATCGTGAGACGAGCGAAACAGAGGCAGCCACCGTCGCGATACCATGCCATTTCGATGCAAAATCCCTCGGGTAGAGGGATCACCTTGATCCCTGAAATGTTAGGTCGAAACGTTTCCTCTCTGCATAAAACCTAATCTGTCTCCATCGGTAGAAGTTTGTTTTTCTCGCGGGAGAAGTAAGAAAGGGATCGAGCCTCTCGCTATCGCCGTATCGCGGAATTGGATTACGTATCTCCCGCGTATGCCCCCCTCATTTATTTATCGCGACGGCCTCCCCGAGGTGTTGCGATTTCAACACCTTTTTTCACGCGTCTATTTACGATTATGAGAATTACACAAGGCAATTAGAGCCTGTATAAATACGGTTAATGGTGCACCGTAACGGTTTAAATAACGCGGTCCGGTGTGGAAAATCGGCACGTTACGATTTCGCGTATAATTGCAACACGCGCGATTCGTTTTTACTCCCCACGTTTTTCGTGGCGGATAACGATGAAATGATTACAGGGTGGAATAATCGTTCGAATAATCGTGTTTCGGTTAAAGTGTTTAATAAAGCGGTCACAAGTGGAGAGACGACTTCCTCGTTCGTCCCAGTGAATTTTAATCGAATTTGATTTATGGTTGCACATTATTAAGAGGGTCTATCTATCGTAGACATGCTGAAACATCGAACGCATCTCCAAAACGTATATCCAATCGGAGGAAAGGAACGAATAATTTCGCTTATCAATTACACCGACATTTTGGTCGGTTATTTTCGTTCATTTGAGCGTGGGAACGCGAGAAGGGCTTCCTACGGGAACGGGGAAGCTCGAAATTCGATTTCGTGATTACGAGGCGTATCTCGGCCACGCTCGGAAACCACCTTAGAAACGGTTATTGCTCGCTAAAGTGCTACGAGATTGCACGCGCGCCGTGATCCACACGCCGCACACATGCGCGCACAAGATCAAGAACGTTGGAAAGAAGAGCGCGAGGTGGAGGCGGCGAGGGATGATGGCCGGGGAGGGGGAACGAAAACACGGGGCGATCGAACAGTTATACCGTTCTCGATACGGACCAAGGTGGTTAGGGCCTGGAGAGTCGGATGGCTCATTTTCACCTGGGGTTACCTTTGGCACACAATCATCCGCCATTAAGCCTGTCTGCAAAAATTTCGAAAAACACCGGAATATCCCTTTACACAGCGACGGGGCTGAACGGGAGGAGAGGAGAGGAGAGGAGAGGAGAGGCGAGTCTCTCCTCTCAAGTGGTACGCGCATAACCCGTCCGCGGCTCGGCTATAGGCTCACGAATAGCCCCGTGATCTCGCGGCATGATCTTTCAAGATCGAGAGTAAGAGCCGTGGTGGAGGATGGGTGAGAGGGAGAGGGAGGCGGAAGGAGAAAATAAGCACGGTGCGCGCGGGACAGGGGGAGGGGAGGGAGTGCTAGATCTCGAGCAACGATCAGAGATCATCTTCCCTGTTCGGCCGGCTCCTCTTCCCTTCCCCGATCCTCCTAGACGGAGGTGGCGGGCGGGGGCGGAGATGTACGAAGCCCGGCGTCGCTCCCATTATCAAATTATTCACTCACACCGTGCGCCATCTATCTTCGGGGCCCGCGATCCTAACGTGTTATTATTTGATCCTCACTTTGTTAGCGATCTGACTCTAACAGGCTCGCGATGTGGTACCTGGTAGATCCTGCTCGGTGATCTGGAGTACTTCTCACGATCTCGCGCCACCAGATCACCAGAGGCCGGACCGGAGAGCTTTCGGAACGATCGCTCTCGCGGATTTGCTCTCGTGCATGCCAGAAGCCGTTGCTTATTTCTCCACGTTGCGCGGATTACGACGAGCAACGGAATCCTCGCCGAGCGATTGAAGATAAATATCGGTCTAAGCTTGTATAAGATACCTCCTCCGAGGCCGAGTTGGATTGTTACGAAGAATGGATGGTAATGAGGGATAAATATTTCGTGATTTCATATATTTCGCTCGTCGGATTCGATTCGAGTGATAGATGTAAGTAGTATCAGTCGAAGAGAGCATGACCTAACCCCTTACCCTCGGAATACACGGTCTCTCAACGTCTCTCATGCATTTTGCACATTTCGCAAATTCGCACGATGAAAACACGATATCCTTGTTATATTTCTCTGTAGGCTCTAAAAATTTCCATAGATGTAGACAAAATTGTCAGAAACAGAGTGTAAAAGTAAAGATTGAAACGATTCGATTTAAAATATTCAACCGTTTCTCAAGGAAAAATATATATATATATATATATATATATACGTAAGAGTCCGTGAGAAGGTGAAGGGTTCAAAGGTTAGCCAGGGTACCGTTCCGCGGTTTGACCGTTTTGTTCCACCAGTTCTCGCGTGCGTGAAGATTGCGCGGGTTACGGAAGATGGATCAGCCGGCGGCTGAGTTCTGCCATGATTTCGTTTTTTGCGGGAATCGCCACGAGGTGAGAGACGAGAGATGGATCGCCAAGGAACGGATACTGCCAATACTGAAATATAGTAACAAGGGCAGCCGAGGGATCGGGAACGAAACTCGTCGGCGAGGGGCGATGAGGCGAGGCAATAGGCGCAGCTCGTGAGGATCGGGCATAGGTAAGTGGCACTTATGTTTAATACTCGAGTGTGGATGAGTGGTGCTCGGTTCTGCACGCGATCCTCGCCTCTTCCCTGACCTCGCGTTCGCTAGAACCAATTTCCACGGATAATATGAGCGAGGATCAAAATATTCGTTTTTTAATTCGCTTCAAATGGGACACGGAGATAAGTTAGTTAGTCGTCGATCTGTATGTCATTATCGTGACGCGTTTATTAGTGCATTTTGAAGAATATTAATTGAAAACATCTACTATTATTTTCTTAATTATTGAAAGTTATGGAAGAATCGATTTATATAGTTTGAAATTAATCTAGAAAATGAAGAAAGACATACGTATCGAAAAACAATTATATGTATAAATTTAAAATTAAAAGAAGATATACGAATAAAAATTTTATTCGTATTTATGCGTGATTTCAATCCAATAACGAAGATATTTTTCTGGAAATGGAGAATAACTATTAACTAACAACTCTGAATAGTTCTATTCTCAATTGGAGTCTTAAGAAATAATGCAATTGTATAATTCAATGCAATAAATATGATGAAAGGATTCGATATTTCGATAGAAAAAACATTAGATTTGTTTTTCAGGTGGAACATTGTCGAGAAGACGTTGAATAGCAGATCGAGCGGCGAACGAGTAGCGATATGAAACCGATCGATCGACGAAAGTCAACTTTTTATAAGACAAAGGACAATTTGGTTTCAATTTGGCTATAAGGTATAAACATTCGTAGAAATTTTAAATAAATTATCAAAATTTCTAATATAGTTAAATTATATCGGTAAAATTTAAATTGGTTAAAGGCAATTTATTATGCCTCTTCATTATCTGAAGAATCCTATGTACGCACTTTGTCTCTTAGCGGCATTTTGCGTACGACAGCATATACAGAATAATAGGTATGAGATAATGGCTTCCATTACATATATAAATATCTTTTAATAATTTTTAATAATATAATATTATAATATAATATAATATAATATGGATATAATATTATTGTTTTTTTTTCTTATGTACGAATAGGGTCGAACAACCGTTAACGAAACGTATGTCGATTCAAACACCGATATTGATAAACACAAAACCGAATGAAGTGGATTCAAAAATAATATCGCACACTAAGAATTTCATAAATGATTTTAACAATAATTTTAACAAGATAGACGAATCTGATTTATTGATTAATTGCATACATATCATCGCTAAACGGGCTCGACAAATCATTGAAAGCATCCAAGCAAGCATACCAGTAAATATAACAATAATAATTTATAATTATTCACATATATTAATATAAAAATAAATTAGGTTCATATTTTTTTTTCCTCAAAATGAATTCTGACAATATGAAGTTTCTTACGATATGCAATATATTTCAGATAAAATAATTTTTCTATTATATTTATATTTAGTAATTACATTTATTATTTTCTTTGGAAGATCATTTTGAGCAAAAAATGTTATTATTTAACTTGATTTATCTTCGTTCTTTGGAGATATGGAAAGTGAGATTATGTAAATCAAAAGTAATCAAATCAAATTTAACTTAATTTTTAATAATAATTAATTTGAAACTGTATTTAACATTAACGATAATTTAAAATAAAAAAGATAAATCCAATGATTGAAAAAGCGTGTTACAATTTCACCTGCTTTTATCCATTAACCTAAGAAAAATCTTAAGTTTCTACATTAATATAAAGCATTATAAATTAAGATAAACTATAAATATAGTTTCAAATTAAAAAAAATTAAAAGTTAAACAAAATGCTTCAATTACTCGTGATTTATATATTATTATTATATCGAATTATTTTATTTTCTACATCTCCAAATTGATTAAAAAAAAAAAAATCTCTTTTTTTTTTTATTAGATTTCAAAGACATTAGATATCGAAGATTCCTTATTATCTTCATCCAACATTTTTGATTCATTTCTATTCGCAACAAACAACGTTGGTATCAAATGGTTGGCTTAATACCAATGGCTTAATAATAATGATTGGAATGATGCATTGATGATCTATTGAAGAGTACGAAAAACTGTTGTTTGACAAAGATTAACACGGATTAAAGGGGGGGATCCGCATGTGATCTTTGTCAATCGATGGAAAATTTTGCAATTGATTGAAAGCGGAGGAAAGCTTTGTTCGTTATCGAATAATTTCGATCAAATCGAAGAAGAATTGGAGAAAATAAAGGACAGACTTATACATTGTATACAATTGTGTGAAACAGTTCGGTATTGCGCGCTCAAATAGGCGCCAACGAGCGCGCAAATACCGAACATGACGCAAAAACTAACACGCGCGTGTATTTAAAATGTATTATATATTTCATAAAAATGGAAACGTTGCAACGAGACTAAATAAATAAATTTTTGTGCTTTTGTACAAATATATCCTTGTTATTTCTGTCAATCCCTACTCTTGACACCAACCTTTAAATAATAATAAGATCCCTCTATATACAATACAACGTATAATAATCTCTAATTACTCGCTCTTGAATTTCCTTCAAAAAATTATTTATAACCAAAACGTAGGATCAATTTTTCCAAAACGAAACTTGTAATTAGCATCGATGGACCTCAGACTTCCGCGTGCCTCCGATATTACAAGGTCAATTAATAAATTTATGAATCGCGCGTACCTCCGTCCAAGATCAAATACTAAGGTTCCATATCATCGATCACCGCCTGATCGACTTCCGTTTCCCATACTACCACTCCCAAAAGATGTCCCATCCTGGAATATTAATAACCAACCCTCCCCACTCCTTATCCAATCCCACTTTCGCTACGTTTCCACAACCTGGTGTCCCACGTTCCTTCCCAAACCTGTTCACCGTGCACAGATATTTATCACTCCAATCTCTCTCCCTCTCTCTCCCGTGTCTCGCAATCCATCCGTCAGAACGGTCGAGCGGATTTCCAAATCTCTCTCCCTCTCTCTCTCTCCCTTCTACCGATTCTAACCGCTGCTGCCGGGCGGACAACAGGGCCCGGGTAACCACCGAGGGCTCATTTGAATTTTCCCGGACAGGATGTGCACCGCGTGCATTTCAATCCCCTGTGGGGGAAACACCCCGACGAATTATGGAGGAGCGAGATGGAGAGGACCCCCTCTCGGGTCTCGAGCAACGGACAAGAGGGAGGGACGTGCACGGATGGTGTGTATACGCGGATGGTAGTTTAAGAGCGAACGCCCGGTATCCAGGGCACGTCCGGAGCGCCAACAGAACTTATTGTCGTGCGCACGACTCGTCGGGGCATTTTAATATTTCCGCTGAATGCGCCGAGAAAACGGTCGAACGTGGGCCTGGCGACGAGAAAACGAAAGGAGAGGAGAGGAAAAAGGAGGAGGATGAGAGAAGGAAGGAGAAGGGGTGAGGGAAGGGAAAAATGAGGGGGAGGGAGAGAGAGAGAGAGAGAGAGAGAGGCAAACCGGAGGCGAGGAATCGTTACGCGACAGTGCCACTGGTCTTGGTTTTTCGACCCGTGACAGGTGGAGTGGCCACGGGGAACCCTTTGTTTTTTTATACGGAGTGAGAGACTGCTCGGTCGTCGTCGAGACAACACCATAGCACCGTTTAGAGGAGGCTGGCGCCACGAAGCGCATAACGATACTCGAATTTAAATATTCACTCCCTGGCCGGCGTTGAAAATATATTGCCGACAGTTTGTTACCTCGTGCCTCTACGGCTTGTCGAGAGACATAAAACGATCTTTTCTTTGACCAAAGCGAATTTGCGTGCAAGGGTTTTTTGTTAGCCGCTGGTGTTTGGACAATTAGCATGTTGGACGAAGTTTTGGAAAAGGGGCGATTGTGTCTTGAATGTTTTCGCCAAATAGCCTGGCCGTCAATGGCCTTATTCTTCCCCGTGTTTATTGTGTATTGTGCCACGCTGAAGCCTTTCATATTTTATCGAAGATAATTTGATGACAACCACTATTGACTCGTGATATATGGAAGATATACACGCAGATTCTTTAACGTTGCTTTATTTTTCTCTTTTTAATTTATTACTCGATATTAATAATACAACCAAGAATTATATATCGTTGGATAATTTTTTGATTGACAGAATTGTCGAAAATTATTATGAAAATAATATTCATGCCATTTATAAATTATTCCTTCAAAATATAATTTCACCATATAAAATCATTTCATTTCGTTATTAAAATTAACGATAAGGAAACTAACTTTATCCTGTACTTACTGGAGAAAAAAAGAAACATTTGTACACCCTATCACACGAAGAATACAAACCATTCCTACCCTCCAAAAAAAAATCTTTCGCACGCCTTAAAATTTCAAATAAAATAAAAACGATTGAGCATACATCTTTCGAAAGAATTACGACAATTTCCCCGAAACGGTGGCCATCAGAAAATTCACCTAAATTCCCAACTGACGGATGCTTTCCAGGATAATCCGCTGCGTGCTAAGCACACGTTACATCAAGTATAGGTATATATTTTACCCGACCCCGGAGATCTATCACTCGAAACCGTGGATCCGCTTGCAACGCGTCTGCGAGTGATGCACGACAATCCCCCAGATAAATTGTGCCGGGCCCCAACGAGTGTCACCGCGTTATCGTGCCCCTCCCCCTAATGCCGGCCCCCGCGGTGCAAATCGTTCTGGTAGCCCGATACATTTACATATTATGCGTGCACGGTAGCTGTGGTTCCTTTCAATGAATCGCGTACTGACTGTTAATGCCGATGAAACGTAGGAAGGATGGTTTTCAGATTACCCTTGCGCGAATCCAAGTTTGGAAACGGAAAGAATTCTTCTGGAAACGAAAACAAGCTAAATTTGTATTTACTGTTTACTTTTGTATGATTTTGTAATAGCAATAATGAAATATTATATGTATGAGAATATATAAAAATATGCAGCGAACAAATATAGATTATATTCGTGAATTTGTGCAACAAATGGATTAAGAAAAGCTATGTAGAAATATATGAATAATACTTGAAAGTGTTGTGCAAATTATTAATCGTGTAAAGAAAGACTGGAATAGAAATTGTTGGAAAAAATTGATTCGTTTAAATAAATTGTGAATAGATAAATCGAATGAAATTTTTATTATAATTTTGAAATGGCGATTAATTAATCGAAGTTATCCTCGAATTTAAAATTTTCTCAATAGCTATGCGCATAGTGTTTCGAAAGAAATACTGAAACGATAAAATATATCGTAGCTTCGGCTTCTTCATTTCTATTCTTGTCAACAACATGTTCGAACTCCTTCCATCTGTTATTATGCCATGGATGTAAATCGTTGAACCGATAAATTTTCTATTGAAATGCATTCGACCTGGATAAACCTTGTCTGTAATAAACTCACGACAAAATGAAGATCTCACTGGGTAAGAGCGTGAAACACGAATCGATATCGCGTGAGGGGATGATTCACGCCGATTCGACGTCCAACGAGATCCGGATACACCGGCGGAGGCGATTTCGTTATATAAGCGACCGAGAGAATATCGTGGTTCTTGCAATTAGGCTAACCAATAGGGGACCACTCGGATCGCGTGCCACGAGGCAACGATGCAATTCTTATTGCTACAATATAACAATTGCACCTTTGGGGAACGATCGTAGGACGCGTGTTGCAACTAGCTTGATACGTGCATCCGTTACTTGAACTTTGATTCGAAATGTTTAGCAAGGGATTCTTGCAACCGTCTCCTAGTTCTCAGGGACTAGTGTTGCTCAATCGATTTTGTTCGATTTTTATATAAAGAAAGATCGAGTGTCCTGTTTAAATAGAATAGAATTTTATGTATCTACTGTAAATTTTTACAATTTTGAATAACACGAATAATATATTTACAACATAATTTAAGAAATTTAAAAAGAAATAAAAATGAATTCATTTCTGAAAAAAACGAAGAAAAGAAAAAAGAATTTACCTAATTCGATTTTCATAAATTTAAATTAAATCATTCTGTTTCTGGAAATACCTCAACTCCAACGTGTCAACAACAACGAATTCCACAAAGTGGAACGAAGCCAACATCGTGCCACGAGAACACCATACTCACGATTACGAAACGGTTCGAACACGTTTCGCCACCGACCGAGCAACGAAACATCCATCCGAAGGGAGATGAACCTGCAAATGACTTTCACGCTTGCTCGAGACCATGAAACAAGATAAACGGGCTCTGCCTATGTCTTTTTCTTCTTCTTCTTTTTTTTCTATCATGTCGATCGCCGCATTACAGGTATTCCCTTTACGAGTAAAAGCATGGCTCGCCACGAGTCATCGCCTCGAATCGAACCTCGGTCAAATCCGGGGGAGGGTGGGAGATGTTTGATCGAGCGGCGAAAGAAGGCGGAGAGGATCGTATCTTGCGTAGACGTCTCGCATCACCGGATGCGCGTGTGCCTCCCTCGCTTCCGGCCGCAACGTTGGCCGAAGCTCATTGCCATGCTCGTCGCCTCGCCCGTCCCCGGAATATGAAAACGAAATCATATTCTTTGTCTACCTCTCTCACCGATCGGTTCCCTTTTATCTCCTCCATTTAACGAGTCCCATTGTACGATACGAACACTATTGAATCACGGTTTAACGTGTTTTTATTATTCATTCGCGTGGCGCGTTTCGAAGTTGGAAATGCGATAGAGAGAAGTTAGATAATGCATTCTTATATCGGGGAAGAGTATATAAGCTTTAGCTTACTGAAACAGGTTGCAGAAATAAAATTTTCAATCACGTCCTCAAGATATTGCTCGTATGTCGTTATAAATTATATCTGATTTCTGTTTTTCTTTTTATTTTTATCAGAAATCATTGTATCGACAGGAAATTGAATGATTAAATATAATTTGTGCTTTTGAAGGAGTTTTATACTCAATGTTTATTCTTGTAATGGTTGTAAAAGAGAGATTATTAGAAAAAAATAATATCTTGTTAAATTTAATTTTTGCCTTACATTTAAAGTTAAAAATTT